AACAATCTGATGAGAAAATCAAGAAGTAAGTTATTCTGTTATTTTCCATCCTTACTTTCAACAATTACCGTGTTACAACGAGATCATTCTGAGAAGGACGTAATAGGACTAATGTGCTTGGTCTCCTTTTTCAGGAAGGACTTTGAGATCAGTCAGCTTCTCAGCAAGATTGAGGATGAACAGTCTCTTGGTGCTCAGCTGCAGAAGAAGATCAAAGAACTCCAGGTAAAGTAATTGGCATACATATCAAAGTCAGTTACTGAAAGGAAACAATACGTTTAATAAGTTGCATCGATAATACTATCATTAAATCCAGGCTCGTATTGAGGAGTTGGAGGAAGAGATTGAGGCTGAAAGGGCGGCTCGGGCCAAGGTGGAGAAGCAGAGGGCTGACCTCTCCAGGGAGCTCGAGGAGATCAGTGAGAGGCTTGAAGAAGCTGGTGGAGCAACAGCAGCTCAGATCGAGATGAACAAGAAGCGGGAGGCTGAGTTCCAGAAGCTGCGTCGGGATCTTGAAGAGTCCACCCTGCAGCATGAAGCTACCGCAGCAGCTCTCCGCAAGAAGCAAGCTGACAGTGTTGCAGAGCTGGGAGAGCAGATCGACAACCTGCAGCGCGTCAAGCAGAAGCTGGAGAAGGAAAAGAGCGAGTACAAGATGGAGATTGATGACCTCTCAAGCAACATGGAGTCTGTTGCCAAAACAAAGGTATGCACTATTTTTCAGAAAAATTGCATTTACATTTCATAAAATCTCCAAATGATAAAAGGGGAGAATAAAAACAGAATATCTGATCAGTAGATTCTATGTTCACTGCATTTGATTCATGTCAATTACACGCCCACTACAGTCCAATTTGGAGAAAATGTGCAGAACTCTTGAAGACCAACTAAGTGAAATCAAGTCTAAGAATGATGAGAATGTTCGTCAGCTGAATGACTACAGTGCACAGAGGGCAAGGCTGCAAACAGAAAACGGTGTGTATTAAAAAAAAATATATATATATATAAATAATAATTTATTTGTTTATTATATTTGCATCATTCATTTTAATGCTTCAAAATGATGATGTATGACGTGTTGAACAGGATACAATGTGATTCCTATCAGACATAGTGGCAGATAATTCCATATCATATCTTTTTGTGTCGCTTGTGGTACCATTTTGAATTGTTTGTTTTGAAAGAATTTCCAACAATATTTCCGCTTCGTCTTGTTTCTCTTTTTTCTTTCAGGTGAGTTTTCTCGCCAGCTTGAGGAGAAGGAAGCTCTTATTTCCCAGCTTACTCGAGGCAAACAGGCGTATACTCAGCAGATTGAAGAGCTGAAGAGACACATTGAGGAAGAAGTGAAGGTACAAATTCTGGTATTTGGGGGGTTTTGGGGGTGAATTGTTTGACTATTTATTATGTATGATATTTTATTCCAGCACATGTGTAATGACAATTTTCCTGTATGTCCAACGTAAATGTTTACATTGGACATACGGGAAAATTACATAAATGTTTCTGATTTCTGGTATATCTACTTAATTACAGTATGTTAACAGAATTAAAGTAAATACTTGTGGCTTGTAATTAATCCATAGGCCAAGAACGCCCTGGCCCATGCTGTCCAGTCCGCCCGCCATGACTGTGATCTGCTCAGAGAACAGTTTGAGGAGGAGCAGGAGGCCAAGGCAGAGCTGCAGAGAGGGATGTCCAAGGCCAACAGTGAGGTGGCCCAGTGGAGATCCAAATATGAGACTGATGCTATCCAGCGCACTGAGGAGCTGGAGGAGTCAAAGTAAATTAAACTTTTTTCATGTCTTCATATACAGTACCGTATAAAAGTTTGGTCACACTTATTCATTGACTTTAATGAACAAATGTGTCCAAACCTTTGACTGGAAGTGTATCTGTTTTTAGTTCCATATTTAACTTTTTAGATAACATCAAATACACTTCTGTAACAGGAAAAAGCTTGCTCAGCGCCTTCAGGAGGCTGAGGAATCCATCGAGGCTGTGAACTCCAAGTGTGCGTCTCTGGAGAAGACCAAGCAGAGGCTGCAGGGGGAAGTGGAGGATCTCATGATTGACGTGGAGAGAGCTAATTCTCTGGCTGCCAACCTTGACAAGAAGCAGAGGAACTTTGACAAGGTTGACAGTTAATCTGCAAATCAACCTGTTTTATCATCAAGAAATATAGACATATGTTATTAATGTCACCTTAACCTATATAATCCTAGGTCTTGTCAGAATGGAAGCAGAAGTATGAGGAGAGCCAAGCGGAGCTAGAAGGAGCCCAGAAGGAGACTCGCTCTCTCAGCACTGAACTCTTCAAGATGAAGAACTCTTATGAAGAGGCTCTCGACCAACTGGAGACCATGAAGAGAGAAAACAAGAACCTGCAGCGTATGTGTGAACTATTATCAAAATGAAAGGCACATAATAATGTATAACCACTTGTGAGAAATGTAAGACTCTGTATCGTTTATTGTTTGATCTGTAGAGGAGATCTCAGACCTGACTGAACAGATTGGTGAGATTGGAAAAAGCATCCATGAGCTGGAAAAAGCCAAGAAGACTACGGAAAGTGAGAAGGTTGAACTTCAGACTGCACTAGAGGAAGCTGAGGTATTATTGTTTCTATTTCAATTATTTATTGCAATAATTCTTAATGGTGCCATATGATTACTTTTTCTAATGGCAATACAGTCAAGTTTGCTAAACTGAGCCATCCTTTCTTGCAGGGAACACTGGAGCATGAGGAGTCCAAGATTCTCCGTGTTCAACTGGAGCTCAACCAGATCAAAGGTGAGGTTGACAGGAAGCTGTCAGAGAAGGATGAAGAGATGGAGCAGATCAAGAGGAACAGCCAGAGGGTGACGGACTCCATGCAGAGCACTCTTGACGCTGAGGTCAGGAGCAGGAATGATGCCCTGAGAATCAAGAAAAAGATGGAGGGAGACCTGAATGAGATGGAGATTCAGCTGAGTCATGCCAACAGGCAGGCCGCTGAGGCCCAGAAACAACTGAGGAACACCCAGGGACAGCTCAAGGTGAGTTTGCTTGAATAGCTGAATGACAAATACGGTTTGGGGGTAAAGAAAGTTAGAATTAAGTCTTAATTGTTGAAATGACTTCAGGATGCCCAACTGCACCTTGATGATGCTGTCAGAGGACAGGAGGACATGAAGGAGCAGGTTGCCATGGTGGAGCGCAGGAATGGCCTGATGCTGGCTGAGATCGAGGAGCTGAGAGCCGCTCTAGAGCAGACAGAGAGGGGACGCAAAGTGGCCGAGCAGGAGCTGGTTGATGCTAGTGAGCGCGTGGGACTTCTTCACTCTCAGGTTTGTCGTCAAAAATTCAAAAGAACCTAGTACCCTGAAATTATATTACAAACATGATAATAAACACGGTTCATTTTCACCTTCAGAACACCAGTCTCATGAACACCAAGAAGAAGCTGGAGACTGACCTTGTCCAGGTACAGGGTGAAGTGGAAGATTCAGTTCAGGAAGCAAGAAATGCTGAAGAGAAAGCCAAAAAGGCTATCACTGACGTGAGTCTACATCTCCAGCTCCTTTATGTTAGATGTGAGATGTTTATTTGATATTATGTAAGACTTTGAGACCATTGTATCATTTCAGGCTGCCATGATGGCAGAAGAATTGAAGAAGGAGCAAGACACCAGTGCTCACTTGGAGAGGATGAAGAAGAACCTGGAGGTCACAGTAAAGGACCTGCAGCACCGTCTGGACGAGGCTGAGAACCTCGCCATGAAGGGTGGCAAGAAGCAGCTCCAGAAATTGGAGTCCAGGGTATGTACTGTATCTAAGTGCACACAGATACGTTAAATAAAAGAAAATCTTGATTTATTGTTTATATCATCACTTTACAGGTGCGTGAGCTGGAAGCTGAAGTTGAAGGCGAGCAGAGACGTGGAGCTGATGCTGTGAAAGGTGTCCGCAAATATGAGAGGAGAGTGAAGGAGCTGACCTACCAGGTAAACTGAATTTAACTTAAAGCGATACCATACTCACTCTTAATCACTTTTTCTATTTATGCTACTTTACACTTCCACTCTTTCAGGTGCATATATTGTACTTTTACATATATTTTTATATTGTGGGCTCAGCACACCCTTGTATGTTTCCAATCACTATTGAATTCTAGTAAGGTCTAATTAGGGTGGTACTATGCTTAAACCAAACTAAACCACACAACCTACCTACAGACATACTTATTACCTAAATACCACAGAAGCTTAATTCCACTTCAACACCCCATTAGTGACAATTATTTATCAAAACAGACTGAGGAGGACAAGAAGAATGTGGCCAGACTTCAGGATTTGGTGGACAAGCTGCAGCTCAAAGTCAAGGCTTACAAGAGACAAGCTGAGGAGGCTGTGAGTCACCTATGTTAGACTTTTCATGCATTGAAATTAACACTGTTATTGACATTAGCAGCTAAATGATTCATTATTCTGTAACCTTTCACAGGAGGAGCAGGCCAACACTCACATGTCCAGGCTGAGAAAGGTCCAGCATGAACTTGAGGAAGCTCAGGAGCGCGCTGACATCGCTGAGTCGCAGGTCAACAAGCTCCGAGTCAAGAGCCGTGACACTGGAAAGGTATCTTTTTAAAATCTTTTTAACAGTATCAATGATAAAATATGTGCATGTTCTTCCTTTATATATTGCTTGTTTTTCAGCATAAAATATGAATATGTATGAAAATTACCTCACAATGACCTCATATGGCATTAATGAGGTGCAGTGTGATCATCAAAAAGCCATGTTGCTGATTAATTACCTCAACTTTGGTTTGGTCTCTATCAATACGTTTTGTAATGTTAGGGTACAAACACTGGCCAGAAGTAACTATCTCTCTTACTTTCAGGGAACGGACTCTTCTGAATGAAACACAAGACCCAGCCGAGGACTTCTAACAGAGTTCATAAAATATGAGCTCTTGTAATTTTCCTCTGTAAATCTTCAATAAATGTTAAACATTTCTCAAGTGTTCTGTTTTATTTTTAATTATTTTATCATATTCAAACTAACCTCATAAGTTTCTTATACTCTCATAAATTAAGACCAAATGTTACAGCTCTTTTTCACTATGTGTACATAAATAATTTATAGGAAACAGTGCCTAATGAAGATTTGAGTTAAAAGCTCTGGAAATTATGTAAAATGTCAAAAGTTTGCTCAAGGCTAAATTATGTTTCAACTAAGAACAAACAAACTATCAATCTGGTTTCATTTCTCTTTGTATTGTCATAATAATGACAATAATTCTAGCCTACGTACAATTTTTCTCTTTGGATAAGCAGTTTAAGCGGCATTATCTTTAAGTGAAAAAGCAAAGAGTTCTTACCCACGTCACTGGGCTTGAAACTAAATATACCATCTGTACGGGACATTTAACCAGCAAAAGAAAAAATAACATAAAATGCTTCAACAAATTACTCAGACAGTTCTGAAAATAAAAACAAGCATATTACTTTATACTATACCAAGCTTCTATTTACAGCTTCCTCAACAATTCCTAACACCTTAATATTGTTTATTGCCACTATCCTTATCTTTTTTTCCAACCCACTTTCCCTTTCCTTGCATTGCCTTTTCTCCTCCTTTCCCAGGGTCTCCTTTGGATTTGTGTCCACCTTGAGTCAGAGCCTTCTGCAACTGTGCTGTGTGAACCTTCTCTATCAGAGAGAAGCAGTCTTCATCTGGACTGATGGGGCTCGTCATGGTCCCCTGTTCATGTCGGTTGGGAGACGACAGGCTTGAATAGGCTTTCTGTGGACTTGCATGGCTTGCAGAGCAGCGCCTGGTCTTGAGATCTTCTTTTGGGATTAGGTTTAAGTTGAAGGAACGTGGCCTGCCAGGTTTTGGACTCAGAGGGATCACAAGGTTATCTCCAGGGGCTCCTAGAGTGAGGAAGACTTCTGGGAATGTGTATGGTTGGTTGCTATTCTTCTGCCCCTTTGACACATAAGCATAGGTGAAGACATTTTTTATTTTGTTAAGACATGAGCAGGTAATAAGCCAACAATCTACACTAGGTGACACAGCTTACCTGCTCTGGTGTGAAGCTCATGGACACCCTCACTGTCACCTGTGAAGAAATAGCACGCCATTGTTCCATACAAAGTCAACGCTTGTTTAGTTGTTTTGTTTAGTCATTGGTGGCCAAATGAAAAACAGACTAGAGTTTAAAATAATCACTTAAAGCAACAGGACGTTTCATCATCAGCAAAGCTCACAGACTTACACCCTAACTGAACGTACTTCAAATTCTAGACCGACACAATCTTTTAAATTAATGAAAATATGAATGAATAAGTCACCTGTCCTGGGGAATTTAGCTGTTTCTGATATTCTGTCTGAGGGGAAAATGAAGAAGATTTGGGTAAGGCTGTGGGGGAGCCGGATTCTGCATGAGCCATTGGAGATGGTGAGGTAGGTCTGTAACAGTTCTTGCTTGATGTTGCTGGTGTACTTTCAGACCAAAGCATGTGTAGTGGAAAAGCCTTGCAGAAAAAAAAATTAAAAAAACAAAAGGCAGTTGAGCTCTCTGTGTACTCTGCTGTGATTTAGGGAATGGGTGATAATTAATTGTGGGTATGAGCCTGTTAATTAAGCAAGTATTTGTCATACACATACAATACAGATATGTTTTTTTAATCTATTTATATAAATAATCCTGCACATTGAAAGGCAGGCATCACGTGGTTGTGTGTGATACAAGAATGACAAGTAACAAAATAAATAACAATTGTTGTTTAACTTACTGGGATTTCAGCCTTTACATTACGACCATTTGGATTTCCAATTATCCCAGGGAGGCTAGGTAGTGTGACACGTTGATCATCAAGCCGTCGTCCCTGACTGGAGGCAATAAATTTAAAGAATGCCTCGGCGTCTGCACCTGTTACGGAAAAACAACAGTTATTTGTGTGACGTCTCGGAGACATAAAACACATACTTGACCTTTCCCTGTGGGTTTTACTGACCTACGAGTACACTATTTAAAGCATTTTCATTGTATGTGGGTGTGCCTGGTGTACCGCTAGGTTGTAAAGAGCACCGTTGCTCTTCTATACGGCCATCTTGTGCATGTCTCATTATTTCAAAGAACTGCTCTTGGTCAGCTGGAGATGTCTCCTAATAAAGATTTAAAGAAGGACAGACAATGAGAAGTGGGAAAACAGGAGCTGACACTGAAAGACAAAGTGACAGAGTTGAATACTATTTCTTCAAAAGACTGTGAAAGAGGAGCCCTTTTAACATCCTACTTTAAAGATTATACAGGTGATATTTTTGCCAAACTATAAGCTCTGTATAGCTCTGCAGCATGACGTCTCACCTGCTGATGTTGGTCAGCCTTGGCGCGTTTTAAGGACGGAGAGCTTTGGGGGCGTTTATTAAATGCGCCTGAACTGGGATGCTCTTTACGTTGAGCAGATGGGGTACCAAAGTTTTGGGAAATTTTGGGTGCAAAACATCGCTGTTCATCCATCCTTGAGGCCTGTGGGGAGGGGGACGGGGGATCAAAGCAGTTGCATATATTGTACACCTGCACAAAAACTTTTCATAATGGTTTCAACATTTTTTTTTCTTCTTATGTGTATCGGACGAACCTGGGCTTTGGAGACGATGTAAAACAAGCTGCTTGCATTCATCTCTTCTGCGGTTAACGTCGATGTGATACCTCCGTTCTGTATACCTGGCAACGAAGGAAGGGAGACTCGCTGGTCATCCAGCCGTCGGCCCTGAGAGTTGGCGACCAAGCTGAACAACTTTTCAGAATCTGTACCTGGGACGGTGAAAAGGGAGACCTGTTAGTTTTAAGGTAAAAACACAGACATTAGCGACTTGAGCGCTTCTGTGTGAAGTTTGCGTGTTCTCCCTGTGTCAGCTTCCTCACACAGTACAAAGGCATGCAGGTTAGGTTCATTTGTGACTTTGAAATTGCTTGCATGTCAGCATTGTGATTAAATAGCGACCAGTCCAGAGTGTACCCCGTCTCTCACCCATGTGTGATTGACTCCCCCACCGCCCTTAAAGGATACGCGGTATGGAATGGAATCAATAGAGAGCAATTCAATTATTATTTCATAAACATTGAAAATAATAATTGAAGAATAAAAACAGAAATCAAACAAATTCCAACCTTTGGGAAAAGTGCTTTGACCTGGTTTGTGTTCGGGTGTCGGTTGGGGACTCACACCTAAGACACATCTCTGGTCATCCATTCGCCCACGATGGGAATTACTCATTAGGGAAAATAAATTGTCCCGTTCAGATGGTGTCATGGCCTGGGTGGAAAACAGTGGATAGCACATATTTAGTTCAGGGAATAAATAATCTGGAATAGAAATGAATGATATCTCATCCTTAAAAATAAATAAATGTAATATAACTCCTTGGATAAAACACGCTAGCAGTAACTTAAGCATATACCCATTTTTGAGGTGCTTTATTTTGGGGCTTTGTTTGTTTTATGTCTGAGGACCGTGGAGGGCCTGAATCAAATGCAGACGTATCCTTTTTTGGTAAACACTGGGTTGCTGGGGTTATGAGCTCGGGCAGAGAGCACCGTCTATTCTGAAACCCCCTGTCTCAATATAGTATTTCTGATTCTGATCTCATTTGTGCATATTTTTGAATACAGTTTCAAGTTTGTGCAACATTTAAAGCCACAACAACAAACATCGCTGCAGTAGTGTAGTACTGGTGGTACATTTGCTGTTAAAATGTAGAATGTTTTCTTTAGTAATACAGGGAATTACTAACCTGGGCTTTGGAGACCATGTCACACAAGTCGCTTGAATTTTCTACTCCAGATGTGGCATTTTCCTTTTTTAATCCTGGCAATAATTGAAGAGAAACTCGCTGGTTGTCCAGTCGTTGGTTTTGAAAGTTGGACAGAAGGCTGAAGAGCATTTCCAAATCTAGACCTGGGAAGATGACATAGGAAAAAAGATGAAATATTGAACCCTTTTGGGAAATGTTTACAGAGACTTGATTAATTCAGACAGTTTTCACATAATTTTCACCTGTGTTTGAAGAGCTTGCAGCAGGCTTTCTGTCTATGAGTTTGGGTGAGCACGGAGCACTCCTGCTGGGATCCAAGGAGCAGCGTTGGTCGTCCATGCGTCCACGTTGGCCATTGCTGATCAAATTCATGAATTTAACTTCTTCGGGAGATAATTCTTCCTAATGGGGAAATACTGTGAGATTAATACTTGACCACTAAATCACTAAATCCACAATAAATGGCAAAGTGGAGAGAACCGACTATCGTACCTGTAATTGCTGGTCTTGGACCAGCGGATCCTTCCTGCTTCTATCTGGAGTACTCTCTGTCGGGGAAATCAGAGGTGCAGAGCTGAGATGGTTGATACTCCTCGGTACCTGAGAAAACAAGTCACATTTGATGTTTATTGATCTCACCAGCTGTGCAGGTGCATGCAGTTAACCCCTTACGACCTGTAACCTAGTACCTTGTTGTTGGATCCTGGCAATGACCCTTGCACTTCATCAAGGTGTTTCCCTCCGTAGTTTGAACCTGTGGGGAGAAGGGGCGAAACAATCAACAATTTACATACAAAATAACGCCTACAATGCAGATGGTATCTTTGTGTCTTCTGTCCAACCTGCAGGTGTGGATTCGATTTGCCCAGTTTTAACAGGACTCTGGGAGCAGCGCTGTTGATCCATTTGTCCCTGCTGTGAGGAACTCGTTGGGTTGAGCAGCTGCTCATGTTCTGGGGCTTCCTGTTGAACAGTAGCCAAGAGGAAAAGAAGATTATATGAACTATCCCAACTTAAATTCTCCTCAAACCTTTTCCACCAAATGTCCATTTTCCACCACATCTTGACACGCAAGTAATTATTCTTAGCAGATCTTTCTTTTCACTCTCTCTCTCTCTCTCTCACAGTAGTAGTTCTGGAACCCAAGACGGGGACCATTATAAGATGTGAAGTTAAAATGAAATGCGATCAATAATAGTGTTGTATAACAGCCAATAAAATTCCATGGAGAAGAATAAATGTAGATGAGCTGCTCACTTTGAATTGAACACTTATTTATGTATTCATCAGAAGATACTTAATGTTACTCTATATAATACAAACCATAATATCCACCAATAAGGAATCAAAACAAATTGGCAAGATGTACACAAATTTAGAAGCATAGATGTTTGTAGATAAAGGTCTTACCAGCATAGTGTCGGTAGCATCTGATTTGTCCATTTCAGGAGCTGCAATCACAGAAAAAATTATACCAAAGAGGAAAAGTGTCCCCTACTGAAAACAAAAATGTGAAACGGTGTCGATAGGTACACAAATACTTGCAGTAAGTGATGGAGGACCGTTTTTTAAAATTGTATCTCTTATGTATAATGGAAATGAAGATCCTGATTGATGCTACTCCAAATGTTACTGGATGTGGCTCAGCGGAAAGCTTTTAAAACGAGTTAAGTCCCGAGTATTAAACCATTGCCATTAATACCCAAGCCAGTGACCTGATGGTAATACCATCTGTGATCCCAGATGAAAACATAATCCTCCAGCATGGTGAGGGATGATCTTTTTCACTGGTAGGTGTACATATTCTCCCTTTTGACCTCGGAGTATACTAAAGACTTGTATTTTAAATATTTGTTGCATGTAGGCATATTCCCAAGTTGTGATATGGAGATCAACAAAACTGGCACTGCTGTGAAAATAAATAAATAAATTCTAACAAATATACAAAATAAGTTATATAATTATATTATATTCTATACTGGTGAGAAGGATTAAATGGTAAATTACATTGTACTCCAATTAAGGAGAGTAATTAACAGAACTAGAAAGTATCCAAATAGTTATTGGTGAAAGCTGTAAAGTTATGACTGAAAATTCTCTGCCCATAGTGATCATATAACAGATTCAGTATATTCACTATATTATAATTCAGTATACTAGAGAAGTTGGAGTACATTCTCTTGAAGTTAAGAATATTATGGATAACATGTTAGAGGTGGCTGAATAAGATCAAATAAATCAAAAGATGTCCTCTATGATTTTAAACCATTCTGAGCATTAAAGTTCATTCTTGAATTTTGGATCTGCACGTTAGACAAAGCTTTAAAGTTTACCATTACTTGAGTTAAAAAGATTTTTTGCTGATTTAAACTCTACTGGAAGTTAATGAATGACACACAATTTAAAGTGAATTTCCTTTTATTACTTATTTTTAAAACATCCAGCACACTTACTCCAATCAATATATTAAAGCATTTAGTAATTGTGCAAAAAAAAGAAGCAGAAGAAAAAAATGTTTTCCACACTTAATATACTTTACACTTCTATAGGCTTACACACACACACACACACACACACACACACACACACACACCACACACACGCGCGCAGATTTTAGGTGAGAGATGGTCCGAACTTAAAGGGAGTGATGCATATTTAAAAGTACAACATAAGGGAAAACTAATATACATTGTAGTAATAGAAATAACTATTTAAATCAGAATGGTAAAATAAATCAAGGTCCTGATGTTAAATTAAATATTTAAATGCAATTTCAATTCCAGTAGTATATGGAGCACAATTTACAACAAAAACAAAAGATCATTCTAAAACAAAAGATTCCCAAAGAAGGTTTCCTCTAAGACTTCTCCTCATGTTTCACTTTGTAAGTCGGCAGTGCAGCAACAGAAGACCAGCAACAAATCATCAAATTCCCTGTTCAGGATCTCGCTATCTAACAATCAGGATTAGGAACTTGGTCCAGACTCTTCAGGTCATTAAGGAAGCTGGTTGGAGTCAAGATGTGAGAAGACCCTGTCATGGAGAAAGTCATATGAATGAAAAGAAAATTTAAAAATCTTGACACGTATTTTTAGGACAAAAATAATAAACTACTCAACAGCTTTTGCTTACCAATCAGCACTTCCCATTTCCCATCAGTGGCTCGAGTGACCTCGTAGGCAGAGCGCATCTCTGAATGTGACAGCCCACCAATCACAAAGATAATAAGTCGAGGGCCAGAGCGATATTCTGTTGGAGATTTATTTTTGTGCCAGTGTCCAAAACGTGCACTGCTGTAAAAAAAAATAATTACACAACAAGTAAGTTTATTCAAACTATGGGCTCAGCAGCCAGTTTCATCATAATGTTTTGCTCACTTCCGTTTCTCATCGGTTTCATAGTGTGAGTTAAGACATCATATTAACCTTGTTTTGAACCGTTGTGTCGGGTTATATAGAGCCGTTCTACATTATTATGTTAATATCATTAACAACTACTCGCTTTAAATTATGCACTTTTCTAAGAAGGAAGGGGACAAGCATTTTGAATATTGCAGATTATAAGTAAATCCAGACCATTAGTGTTTTAGAAACTAGGCCATCGGGATAGGAATTACCTGCGGGATTTTAAAGTATTCAAAGCAAAAGTGGTTTAATTGAGCTTTTTTTTCCCTTGATGCTTCACCTCAAGCTTGGCTCCAAATCAGATAAAAGCTTTTATTTGACAGAATTAATCTGTGTGCTACCCCAGTTAATAATGTTGTTGCAAATGGTGTTTGAATGCTTCTGCCAACCACATCCATATTCTACCAAAATGCAATTGTCTCATAATTGGAAGTTATTGAAAATTTGTCAAAATTATTATAAAAATTCTTGAGTTATGGCCAAAAACATGTTCTGTGTGGTGATAGTAACCTCATTTGTAGAGACAAATGACAGAAATATATATGTGCAAAGCAAAGAAATTAATAGAATTAAACTAATGAACAAATATCAACGGCATGAAAATAAAGGAAATAAAAAGGTATATTTTTAAAAAAATGTAACCAATATTTTGTTCAGTTCAAATTTGATGCATTTCTGTTTCTAGCAGCACCTACCTGACCGCTGTCTGGGTCGTGTTGATGGGCGCAGGATCAGAGATGAATGGCCACTGCTTACGGTCCAGTTTGTCCTCTATGGCATTCTGCGTTACAGAGACACAGTGTCAAAATCTGAGGGCAAAGAGTAGAAACCTCAGAAACCTCGCTTTGCCTTTAATACCTCCATGACGTCTTTGATGATGGGAACCCATCTCGAGAGCTGGTAGGTGCTCTCTGTGCGCTGCTTGCGCTCCGGCAGTGTTATCCCAGCATTGCGGCCCTGACAAACACCACAACAACATGAAACAAATACACAGGGGAAACAAATTATATTTGTATAACTGTAACCAAAGTGCAATCGAGACATCTACCCCAGCTATAATGTTGCAGCCCAGGTTCTGCAGGTTGTTGATGATGTTGCTGTCGGCCATTATGTTTGCGTGCTGGATGAGCTTGGCGAGGTTCTCCTCCCCGATTCCTACATGAATAACCAGATATGCAGAAATAGTCAGTCCAATCCAAGAATCGGGTTTAAAATTATTCTATTAGTTGAAATAGGCAGAGTTTTAACAAAGTGGCACCTTTTTTCATGTGGAATATGTACAGCAGGATGATGCGGATTTTGTCATAGGCCTTGATTTCATTGTCGAGGAGCACAGGAACGATGCTCTTCATGGCATCCTTTAGAGGTTCCCCTTCCTCATTTTCTCCCATTGCCAGGTCCTGCGGAAAGCGCTTGTGTTTAATCATTAACTTCAACTAAAACCTCAAATACGTCTGTCAGCTGACTCACAGGGCAGCTGACAGAGGGAGGACAGAGAACCTTTAAATCTTATTAAATATGTTTTTCTTGGCAAAATGTTTAGTGAAAAGGATCAGAGCCATCACAGACTACTTTAAAAAGGTTTGAGTTTATTTGACACTATACTAGATTGCAGAGTAAACATTTTATTTGTAATCCAATAACTATGTCACAAACAATAAACGGTGGCCAATTGAATTTGCTTTTATACTCATCTTGGGTGATGTGTGACTCCCCTGGAAACTATTATTAGGCTTTAATGTGGACGACATTGTAAGAGCCAATCGATAACAATGAATGGCTGCGAAGAGCACGTCAAAATAGAGCACATGGTCCCGTTATCAACGTTACACAAAGACATTGTGTTGGGTTGGCCAAACAATGGAGAGCAATAAAACTAAATGACAGGCAACAAGGAGCTGTGCTGGTTAGATCACACGATCCATCTTTGAGCCAAAACATGCCCATTGGATTAAAGAAGCAGCTTTCAGACAAGCTGACACTCCATTAGGACAGTTGAGTGATTCACTCATAAAAAGGTCCCGTTGTCACTTGCTTAACATTTCCTGTGTGCTTTGGACTCTTACTTGACTAAATGTGGAATTAAACTTCCTCTCAAGGACACAAAGCATGTCTGGCTTATAAAAACAACACATTGGGGCTCGACACTGGTCTGAAACAGGGCTTTATCCGAGGCTCATATTGATGGAAGGATTTCCACATTACTCAGTAGAACATGTGTTATTAAGTGCCTTTACAGTAATAACATAACAGCTTCTTCAGCATATCCGATGTCCCCTCCCAAGCTTCTTATGCAATATGATAAATCTACGTTAAATATAAAAAGACCAGTGGAGCTATAAATAAAGACGTCACAACAAATATAAAAACTAGACTGTTTTTTCCAACACCAATGCACAAGCAGAATAAGTACAAGAATCTTAAACCTGACCTCCAAAAGTATAAGCGAAAAAATGTAATTTATTTCATTTCAATTGTAAACCTCAAAAGCGTACTGACCTGTTCCACTTCGCAAAGCTTATCAACAGAGGCCTTGTAGGTCTTCATACAAGCTCCGGCTAGGTGCAGGTGAGTGGAGTACTGTGAATGAAAAAGGATTATTATGAATTTAACTTGTGGTATTAATACAACCTGCCCATGATAGGAAACATTTTTCTTGAAGCTACAGGCAACACTGACAACTCTGATGGAAGGTTTTCTGGACCTACACCAGAGATTCTTGACATGAAAGGCCATCAATGGATGGGAAAATTAACAGGGATGTGGGCAACATTTAGGACCCGTTGAAACGAACCGATTAATAACTATTAGAAGTGTCTCATCATACAGGAAGTTCAAAATCATTATATAGGGGAAATAAACTGCGGTGTATCGTCCTGATCTTGAACGGTTCGCAGAACTTGCTGAACAATAGAAGCATGATCTTTAGATGACAATAATAATAGTAAAGAGTTTATCTTCATTGCACTCACCATGCTCAGCTCCTTTTGGTACTGGGGCATCTTCTTTAACATCTGAGAGAGATCTTTTATGTTGGCCTGGGGATGTAAGACATGACATAAACGTAGCCCTCATCTTATACCATTTACCAGCTAATAATAAGAACTAAATCAAAATGAGAACTGCGTGACAACTCACATTGTCGGTGTTCATTCTCTTGCTCTGGCAAAAGGTCTGAAGAAGCTCAGTCACTTTCCTGTAACAGTAGGTTTTGAAAATGGTCACCTTGCGCAGGAATATGTTTACTGTTTAAAAGTACCGAACCGGTTCCACATGTTACCTTGTAGGAACACTGAAGATTTATACAGACATCCCTGGTCATTCCATTAAGTTTTCTGATTTAACATTTAAACATTAGTATAGTGTACAATTTAGTGCTAGGTTTCAGTTGTAACATTAAAATGACCATTGCTTGCTCGGAAGGATGACGAGGACACGAGTGGCCCTCTCATTTTAGTTTTGACAGACTTACTTTGTGACATCAGCAATGTGCATGTGTCTAAGCGCAACCCAGAGCTCGTCATCTTCGTCCAGTAACACTTCTCGGTCATTTGAATTCCCAATGCCGGTTGACTGATAACTTCAAAAAATGAAACAAGTACACACATACAACAAAATTGACTGGAGAAATGATATGCCCAAGACAACACAGATGTCCCTGATCAGGTAAAACAAATGTGCAGCAGTCTATATGCAATACAACGCAGACTCACCTGTAGATATCCTGTTTGATATCCAGTAAGTCGTAGGCCATTGCCTGGAAAGTCAACTCATGCAGAATAGGTGAGATGGGATCAAACCCACGATCAACAATGAGCAGCTGGGAACGGGCCTTGTCTGCACCCTAAAAACCAATGAACATAAGGGATTCCATTCAAGACTAAACAAATGT